AGGGCTCCTCCTCCTCGCCCTGCCACCTTCGGCCACAGGAGCTGCCTTCTGCGTGCAGAGAGCATCGCCACGGCTTCCAGGCCAGCCCAAGCCACATCGCCACACCTTGTCCGAAGGCCATGGAGGAAGAGAGAGAGACGGGAATGCGCTCCGATCCTTGTGCCAAGAAACAAACTGCAGGGAAGGTGTAAGACCCAGAACTTGCATGCGTCTCCTTTTGCTAGTGGACTGGAATCCTGTTATTCTAGCAGTTACGTCATCAGTTGATGGGTGGTTTTAATGATTAAACTGTCACAGGCTCAATGCTAGAATTACCATCAAGGACGATAATTTGGATTTACACAGTCATAGACGTTAGGATCGCTGTAGACTAATAATGTCTATTTTGAACCGCACTGGGAGTTCATGTGGAAGGCGAGGGGTGAAGGGGTGAGGGAGACACCGGCTCCACAGAGTCCCCTTGGGACCAGCCAGAGAGGACAGGAGAAGTAGGACAGGAAGGAAATAGTAGACGAGGCTCCCGTCCTGCAGCAGGCGTCCTCAGGCTCCTGGCTCAGCCGAACCCACCCCAGTCACACCCAGGATTCCCAGTGTGGCGGCGCGTCCTTCAGCGCATTCATTTGGTCCGTGGTCCCCAGTGATTGCCCAAGGGCAGCGGGGGCAGCTGGCGGTGCCGCCCCTGTGCCTCCCCACCCTGAGAAACGCTGTCCACGCCTGTGTCCCCTGCTCCATTTGAAGTGGCTCACAAGCCCCTGGGATGCCTTCATCCTTCTTGCTAAACTTCCTTTTCTGTTTCATCAAACATAAGAGAGTTTGTGCTGTACAGTGATTCACTTCCTTTTCTTCCCTTCCACACTGCCGTGGCTGTGTCTAGATGCCCTCCAAAGCCTCGCGCGGTCATAGGTGGGGCTTTTGCAGACATTTAGAGTGTGTGGCCCTGAAATTCGTCCTGGCTGCTGTGCTGGGCTCAAGGGCAACCCGGTTAGGGTGTGGGTGCTGCCCCTAAACAGCTGGAAAGTTGAAGGGGCCGGAGGATGCGGTCTAGGTCCCTAGTGTGCCTTTGCTGTCACCTGCCTGCCGTGAGCTGTTTCCCCCGGGAAGCCCCTCTGCCATCCACCCCGCCTTGGAGCCGGCCAACTGTGGACTGAACCCTGCACGCTGTGAGCTAAAGAAACCTCTCCTCCTCTAACTCTGGGTGTCCTGAATTTTGTCTCTGCCGTGAGGAAAGTAACTAAGGCACAAATGGGAAACCAACTATGAGAACAGGAGCTCGGGGGAGTAAAAGAGAACCGAGATGTGCTCCACACGATCCACCTCCCCGAGACGAATGTGATCATTCTTAGCGCCAACATGGACTCACACAAATGTTTCTAAAGACAAAGCGGAAGCTGCCGTATAGAGCTCCCGGGCCCGGGCCGGCACACAGCACAGGCTGGTAGGGCGGCCGTGTCCTCACCTCCCTGCCCTGGTCCGGCTCCGTGGCCGCCCACGCCCGCGTAGCGCAGCGCGGAGGGTTCCAGGAACTGGGGGAAGCGCTGGGCTCACACAGCATTTGCTGCGGTGGCCCTTACAGCCGCCTGGTTCTGTCGCTGTCCCGTCGCCCTCGCTGGGCCTGAGGTTTGAGTTCCGCTCCACACAGCTGCGCGCACAGGAAAAGCTCAGCCCACGCCGCTGTCTGCGGCTCCAGCCCCGGCTCGAGGAGAAGGGCGGCTGTACGCGCAGCTGTTGGACCAGGCTCTGGGCTCTGGTCTGAACGGCAAGAGTCCCCGTGTCCTGAGCCCACTCGGGTCCCTGTCCTCCCTCTGCGCCCTTCACCACCTCGTCTCTGCAGGACAGAAGAAAGGGAAGCAGGGGGTGCCGCTCTGCGGGGAGCAGCTGCCTCAGCCCGAAAAAGAAGCAGAAATGAGGCACCACCCGAAACACTGGCCTGGGACCGCAGGGCCAGCCAGGCCCTTCCTGTCGCGGCGCCGGGGTCCTAGGCTCTGAGAACCACCTCGTCCTCCAAGAGCTGCCTCTGCTCCGTGTTCCCTTCTCCCGGCTGCACCCGGAGACGAGGAAAGATCGTTCCCGAGATCCTGGGCACGGAGCCTCTGCCCTTGAGCTGCATCCCCAGCTCTTCTCTTCTTCTTATTATTATTTTGTATTTGAGACGGTCTCGCTGTGTTGCTAAACTGCCCAGGCTGGGTTTGAACTTGCAATCCTCCTGCCTCAGCCTCCCAGAGCCTTCCAGAACTCTAAATCGCCCGAAAAGGGCGCTGTGTGCCCCTGCATCTGCACCCCAGGCGGGCCCCGGAGTCCCCTCCACGCCCGTGCGTGTGCCCTCTCCGGGTTTTGGGTCCGAGTCCCCAGCAGCGTCCCGGCAGGGAGGAGGGCGCTGCCCAGGGCCCCATGCGGAACT